GGTAATCAGAATGTCATGGAGCACTTTGCCAAAGGCTTTGCTAATGTCTGGATAGATTATGTCCATAGCATGCCTGCAGTTCATTTGGGAGGTTACCCAGTCAAATAAAATGAAGTCCTCTCCAATTTATGGTAACCCTATGAATGAATGCTGTCCAACACGTCCTGTCCTTGTTAGTCCTCCTGCTGATCTCTTGTGTTCAGATATGCTAACTCTGAAATTAGATTAAATATAAAAGCAGAGAAACAAAGTAACTTTTTAAAAGTGATATAAAAATGATGGTAGTATATGAAAAACAACTGTATAGTAACTGCAATTGTTCTAAATGATTCAGTGGGACATTTCTTTCCATTAGCTTTGTAGCATCTAGAACATGGGTGCAAAGCAGGGTGTGAAGCAGTAACACTTCAATGTACAAAAGTATGCAATTGGACTTTAAACTTTACCAGCATTTATTTGGGGTAAACACATAAAACAAACAAACCTTCTGAAAAAATCTTTAGGGCTTCCTGGACATAGAACCTTGTATAAACTAATGGGTAGTATCCCATTAGTGCCTCAGTGCTAGTGTTAATGATGTTGTACAAGTGTAAGACAACTTAACTAGCACTTGTGGCAATTTGTCACTGCCCTATCAAGTGCTAGTTATATTGCACAGGCACTGATTTCTGCTATTGCAATGACATTAGTGCAAGTGCAAGTGCTGAAACATTGGATACTATCAATGAAATTAAACAGATCTATATATTTGGAAGACCATCAGTTAGAAATAATTCATTACATTTTTTTATTGAGACTGGTCACATTTCAGAATTATGCAACAAATATACCTAACTGTACAGATGAAACATTGGGAAAAGGTTATAGACTGATGTATATTGACAGTTGATGCGCAAAGCTTGTGTGTATGTATGGAGGCCATATGTCCTGAGTGAATCTGTGTACAAATTCATGGTTAGTCCTAAATGAAAATATACACTGAAAATAGTGTTGGTCTTGATTGATGTAAGAATGAAAGGAAGATCTGCATTCAAAATGAATTAGAGCTTTTCAGTATATTTGTCCTTTTCGATGTAAAATTATCAGTTAAATATTGCTCTCTGATTATTTATTAAGATAAATGTTGTGCAGTTTAACATTTAAGCTATAATCCTAATTACACAAAGTAACAAGACCCACTGAATTCGTTAGTATTCATCTCAACAAATAAATACATAGGACTGAGCTGTTAGCTTCCACAAAAGGCAACAAGCAGTAGTTGTTCTGTGAATAACCTAAGGTCTACCCAACCCAGGGTGTGCAGCCACTCCCTCCCCCTCAGTTCTCCTAAGTGTATCCTGGAGTCACATGGCAAAACTGACTTGCTTCCTCCTCCATGTCATGACTCATTTTGTTTTCCATGACACCTTGGAGGAGTGTCTGAGGTGACAAACTTTTTTCCCCCCTGAAACATTTGGCCTTCACACAAAAATATTTTAGGGAAGGGGTTCTTTCACAAGTGCACACCTGCACTCTTACGGAAGTCTGAAAAGAGACAGTTTCCCCAAGGCAATATCTAGGAAGGTACCTCCTAGCTGTACTAACCTTGGACATTGAGCCAGACAAACAGCTTTCTCTCCAGTTTTGTTTGGTGTGACAGCTGTTAAAAGGTGAGCTGTCAAGCCAAACCAAAGGAAAAAGTGATATGTGCTTGCAAAAACAAGCTGGTGGAATTTACATTTGTAGGTGCGCACATTGGAAAGATTGTGCATGTGTGTGTATGCGCATTTGTGTATGCGCATACACACACATGTAAAACAGTGTACTGATGCTATTTTACCTAAGCAGTGTCTTCTACTGTTCATACCTCTTATGCAATAAAACAGACTTTCACTAATGCATTTCCTATAAAATACATTTGTTTTCAGTGTTGTTCCTAAGTTAAGACATATGAAAGCTTGCCTATGTTAGTGTTAGGTATGGGTGTTGTAGAAAACTGCTATATATAAACATACATTCACAATACTTACAAAATCCATAGTGACTGCTATAGATTACAGGCTAAGCATAGTTTACAGCATCATAAGCTAATGCCAGTACAACCTGCAATGAGTCTTGGGCTGCCATATTCTCCCTTCCTTCCATGTAGCCAGCAGTAATGTTTGTTTCCAGTTTTGCTTACCTGGAGTTTGCCATTTCATCCGAATAAACTAACATTAACTATGGCTTTCAAGCCAAATTAAAAAAACAGGTTATCAAACTGTCTGTTTCAAGAAGTCACAGGTAATCACATTTAGGCCGCATTCACACATAATTATAAGTCATACTGGAAACCATGCAGGCATGACTTTTCCATACGTGTGAATGCAGCATCCAATGAGGGAGAGGCAAGTGAAGCAGGCAGGGGCAGTGCACCCAGGGATCAATTCTGAGTTTCAGTGGCTGATGAGATACATGCCACCATTTGGAGGGTAGATGGAGAAGCATGGATACCTTGCATGCATAGAAACCACATGAATGTGTGAACCCAGGACACAAGGTAGGATACTATGCCTCACAATAATCACGTGACATTGTTTAGCAATATGTGCTGGCAGACCCTTATTGTTTAGACAAAACAACCAACTTGTTATGCAAAAGCAGAAGTTCGAAAACTGCTCAATGCAAGATTTGTAGGATAAGAATAGGGGAGGCACATGAGATTTATGCTTACTGCAGCTTACTTTACACTAAACCATAGTTTTGTGTGAAATATGAATGAAGCCTGTACATAGGCAGTGCTAACATTGTATTTCTTTTCCTAACTAGAAAATAGCATGGATTGAATACTAACAAATTTAGTATTTGTTAGTACTAAACAAAGGGAAATGAGTATATTTTCTCAAGGATGAAAATCTGCCACTCACATTATCTCAGTTTAGAATTCCAAACATCAGTGTCAAGGTCCCTTCTGGCTCATCTATGGACCACTTTGCTTCTCTTAGTCTAGAAAAAATGGGCTTCTATTTTAGAGCTTATAAAAACATTACACTGTAGTGTGAAGGTTCTCATAACTACAAATCATGAAAACAGGTGGATCTATTTATAGCCATGAGAAAAAAGGAGAAATGTTCCTGAACAAGTGTTTGAAAAGATAAACTAAAATACTGTCAAAGAGAGCTTATTCTAGTCAGAAAGGCAGTACTGAGGCTGAGGGCACACGTTGTTATAGATACATTAAGATTTTGTTTTGTTTTACTATACAATTGGCCTATCATCCTTCACGTTAATTATGCCTTTATTGCATAGGCTATCAATAGTCCCATTAGAATGATGAGATTTATAGATTTCATAATATTTTGGGGAAAACATATACTTGCATATACTATATAAAACTCAGGGATCCTATTTTACATAGATCTATGTATCAGAGTCTCTTAAAACAATTTAAACTCTAAAACTTCAGCACCTCAGATATAACATCAAGTGGGTTTGACCTGGGTAAAGGTTTTAGTAAGTTACCTGGCAGGCAGCTATATATTTTCAGTTCTCGGAGCAAACAACATTCCAAGGGATATCTACCTATGAATAATTGACCTGGTGTATATATATATCCAAGGGAGCCTGCAAGTTCTTGGCTGAAAAGGTATTTAAATGGAAGACTTATTTAGGCCTCACTGTAGGGTAAAACAAAAAGCTCAAGCTGGATCATGGCAAATGTATGATATCAGCAATGAGGAAAAGGTTCTTCAGTATTTGCCAAAACTGTCAGAATACCTCTGACTTCTAGATGCTTGGGATAGATAGCTAGCTAGACAGACAGACAGACCGACTGACCGACCAAGAGACAGACTTTATTATGGTCAAAGACCAGCTCAATTTGAGTAAATGAATAGATTTTAAAAGGAAAGAAAATACATTAAAATTAACTGTCATAAAATCCCAGTCAGATTAGTAAGCACTTCAACACAATGTACTATTTCTATAATTCATATCCATCATCTTGAGAAAGTGGCATTCCCAAACTTTATCTTTCATCCGGTTAAGTAGAACCACACTCCCTCAGGTTCCTTCTTCCTATCGTGGCTGCAAAGAATTTAGTGACGCTGTATGTTAGCCTCAGATTAGTGTCAGACAGCAAAATATAGACATACTGTTGTCCCATATGGCTCGGAAAGCAATTCATCAGTGGGAAAATGAGTGCATGCGCATATCCCTATAACATGTACACCACAGCAGGACATGCTCTGCAGTTTCTATCTGTTTCATACCACAAATTCTTGGGATAAATAACAGGGTATCTTTCTTTACATCCTGTTCCTAAGCTTCTAGAGCAGGGATAGGCAACATGTGCGCTTTGTTGTTAAGCTGACAAACTGTCCTGGACACCACCACAAAATGGCTTTCCTGGGAGGCGGCATGACACAAAAAACCCACAGCAGAAGTGGCATATGAATCCTAACACACTAAACCACTCACAGTTTTCAGCACCAAGAGAAGTATATTTCACAGAAATCCCAGCTGTCCATAGGAAAATGTGTTAATGTTTTTTAGAAATTGGAAGGGATAGGTTACTTTGGCTGGCATCAAGAAACATACCTGGGTTACACTGATGCCCATGAGTACAATTTTGCCAGCCCTAGTTCTAGTGTTATTTGGTTGTCCGCTCCAAGAAACAGAACATTGTATTAAATGAATTTTCGACCAGACTCAGAAAGTTATTAGTATTCTATGTGCCTTACCAGAGTGAGCAGCACTTTTAAAAAAAGGAAATATGAATTACTTTAGAACATGAATACATTAGCAAGCTTTAGAATTTCATTCAGGCATTCTCACATACTACTTTGAAGAGAAACTTCATGTGCCATGCTTTTTTATCTTTTCAATGTTTCCATTTCTATGCTGCAATGCAAGTTTTATTATTGTTATTGTTGTTAATAGATTCAAGGGAAATCTGAAGGCTTATTTAGAGCTGGGGCATGAGAAACATAGGAGAAAAAGCTTGAAAAGCCCAACTGATCTAGGCTTGACTAGATACTCACTCTGTCACATAGCTCTTCAAATGTGAAGTCTGCAATGGTTCCACACGCTTTATTCACTCTCAGCTCTCTGCCTTGTACTTTTAAAATCCTTGGTCTAGTTACTATGGGAACATGAACAAAGACTCAATCTTGTCTGGATAATTACTATAAAACTCATCTCTTACAGATAGGAAATGCATAGCTTGATGAATAATAGCACATGATTCAACACATAAATTAGACAAAATGCTGATACAATGACTGCCACTTGAGTATGGCATCAACCCATATACAGCAGTGGAACTTATTAATTGGTCAGTGGAGATTGGGCATTGTGTTCTAAATGTATTCTCTTTCAAGAGAAATTAACTTACGTACAATCATTTTGTTTTTGAGCCAGCTCATCAAACAACTTATCCATGACAGCCTCCACATCAGCTTCACTTGTGCTACAGTGAAAAGAATAATAGAATATGAAATTAATAACACTTGAAGCCAACATCAAACATCTGCCTGAGCTTGCTTAGCTTTTTGCCCATAAAGAGAGAGAGAGAGCGCGCGCGAGTGAACGAACAGGATGTTATGTTGTAAATACAAACATTAGATTTAGAATACACTTAAAAGCAGAGAACATTAACTCTCAGGTAGATGATTCTGTTTTATTTACATACATTGAAAGACTTCTGTGTTTCAAGCTGTTTCCATTAATGAGGAAATGTGGGCAAGGCCAACAGCGGCTATATGCGCACAGAGAGATGCAAGCTCCTGTCTACATCTTGCATATGAGAATAAGAGGCAAACGCGGGTGGGCATCTGAATGGAATCCCTTTGGATTTCTCTTTTTCCCCTCTTTCTCTCTCCTCTATATACATACATAGAAATACTTCACTACCTTGAAACAACTGCTCCGATAAATTCAGTGACATTTATTGATATGTAAACATGCTTATGATCATATTCTGCATCACCAGATTTGACACAGTTAAAGGCTTTCTCAATTTTGAATTGATTGGCAAGCATATAAAATCTTCATTCTAGGATTTGGATTCTTGCAAAGTCATGTAACAATTTTGGTTATCAGGACTATAAATCACAGAAACTTTTCAGTTCTCATTAAAAGTCATTACAGCAACTGTTTCAGTAATACTCTTTCCCAATTTACAATTCAAGAATGAAAACTGAAGAGTGGAACACCTTGATGGCTTTGCAGCAAATGGGACAGCATGTGCATGTTAACAACAAACAATGTAAATAAAAATATATAATATGCTCTTCAGTGTTTGGACATTAACAGTTGTAGCTATTAAAATTATCCAGCCGGATCTCAGGTATTGTATAGATTTTTGGAACTTCAGGCGCAGCAATTTATTGGGGAATAAATTGTAGCAAACGGGCCTCAGCTATCTATACAGCAAAATGGAATAAGGTTCAAGGATGCATTGTACTATGTAAGGTTCTAAGGGGGGGAACATATTGATGCATGTGCTTCCTATATTCAATTAATGTTGTTGTTGTTAGTCACGATGTCGTGTCCGACCCATTGCGACCCCATGGACAACATTCCTCCAGGCCTTCCTGTCCTCCACCATCCCCCGGAGTCCACATAAGCTCACACCAACTGCTTCAGTGACTCCATCTAGCCACCTCATTCTCTGCCGTCCCCTTCTTCTTTTGCCATCTATTGTTCCCAGCATTAGGCTCTTCTCCAGGGAGTCCTTCCTTCTCATTAGGTGGCCAAAGTATTTGAGTTTCATCTTCAGGATCTGGCCTTCTAAAGAGCAGGCAGGGTTGATCTCCTCCAGGACTGACTGGTTTGATCTCCTTGCAGTCCAAGGGACTCGCAGGAGTCTCCTCCAGCACCACAATTCAAAGGCCTCAATTCTTCGGCGCTCAGCCTTCCTTATGGTCCAGCTTTCACAGCCATACGCATTTTTGTTGGCAGGGTGATGTCTCTGCTTTTTAGTATGCTGTCTAGATTTGCCACAGCTTTCCTCCCCAGGAGCAAGCGTCTTTTAATTTCTTGGCTGCAGTCTCCGTCTGCAGTGATCTTGGGGACCAGAAAAATAAAATCTGTCACACCCTCCATTTCTTCTCCATCTATTTGCCAGGAAGTGAGAGGACCGGACGCCATGAGCTTAGTTTTCTTAATGCTGAGTTTCAAGCCAACTTTTGCGCTCTCCTCCTTCACCCACATCAAGAGGCTCTTTAGTTCCTCTTCACTTTCTGCCATTAGAGTGGTATCATCTGCATATCTGAGGTTGTTGATCTTTCTCCAGGCAATCTTAATTCAAACTGGTGATTCATCTAGCCCCGCCTTTCACATGATGTGCTCTGCATACAAGTTAAATAGGCAGGGTGACATTATACAACCTTGCCGAACTCCTTTCTCAATTTTGAACCAATCAGTGGTTCCGTGTTCAGTTCTCACTGTTGCTTCTTGACCCGCATATAGGTTTCTCAAGAGACAAATAAGATGGTCTGATACTCCCATCTCTTTAAGAACTTACCACAATTTGTTGGGATCCACACAGTCAAAGGCTTTAGCACAGTCAATGAAGCAGAAGTAGATGTTTTTCTGGAACTCCCTAGCTTTCTCCATGATCCAGCGTATGTTGGCAATTTGATCTCTAGTTCCTCTCCCTCTTCGAAATCCTGCCTGTACTTCTGGTAGTTCTCGGTCCACATACTGCTGAAGCCTAGCTTGTAGGATTTTGAGCATCACTTTGCTAGCATGTGAAATGAGTGCAATGGTGTGGCAGTTCGAACATTCTTTGGCATTGCCCTTCTTTGGGATCGGAATGTAAACTGACCTTTTCCAATCCTGTGGCCACTGCTGAGTTTTCCAAATTTGCTGGCATATTGAGTGTAGCACTTTTACAGCATCGTCTTTTAGGATTTTGAATAGCTCAGCTGGAATACTGTCACCTCCACTAGCTTTGTTGTTGCTCAGACGTCCTAAGACCCATTTGACTTCACATTCCAGGATGCCTGGCTCGAGGTCAGTGACTACCCCATCGTGCTTATCAGGGACGTTAAGCTCTTTCTTGTATAGTTCTATGTAATCTTGCCACCTCTTCTTAATCTCTTCTGCCTCCCTTAGGTCCCTGCCATTTTGGTCCTTTATCATGTCCATCTTTGCATGAAACGTTCCCTTCATATCTCCAATTTTCTTGAAGAGATTTCTGGTCCTCCCTATTCTATTGTTTTCTTCTATTTCTTTGCACTGTTCATTGAAGAAGGTATTCTTATCTCTTCTAGCTATTCTCTGGAATTCTTCATTCAATTCATTTCTCCCTTGCCTTTTGCTTTCCTTCTTTCCTCAGCTATATTCAATTAATATAACCCTATATAGAAGTTGGGGCTAGCCTAGGTTCTTTAACAGTTTTCTACTGGCTTGCCATTTTTAAAACCCAGGGAAGCACTCAAATTATGCCAGGAAGGTCCTCTGTATTCCATCATTAGGACAATTACTTTCCATGAAGCTGTAAGAGCTGTGATGCCTCAGTTATGGAAGGCATACCCTCAGTTATGGAAGGCAGCAGCCTGGCTGGCAGCAACACTGGCTCTTTTTGGCACCAAGGCCTGGCTCTTCACCCAAGCTGTTGGGTCTCAGTGACCATAGCTTGGTTTGACTGACCACAACTGATTTTATCCTAAATGGTGATTTATTTATTTTTTGGTGGTGGTTTAATGCTTTTATGTCAAATTGTTTTTCTTGATTTTATCTGCCTACTGAGATGTTTTGATACATAACAGGTTAGAATATTTAATAAAATAAAAAGATGTCCCCGTCTGTCATTTGAAATAGCATATTCCACCCAATTCTCTTGCATACATAAACTAGATTCCAAGATTTGTTGCCAGCACAGTGCTACTCATCTGCACATACAAATGTTCAACTATGGCTTGTTTTCATTAATTACTACTTTAAATGAAGCCTAGTTAAAATGTTTAAGGATTGGCTGCATTCTAGGGTGTGGAATTGCAGTTTGAAATAGATTACAAACCCTACTTATTTGGAACATGAGAATAATTTTAAGGTTGCTATTCTATACACTGCTATTCAGTGGGAATAAGGCCCACTGAAAAGCTTTCTAAGTACACATGTAAAGCAGGGTAGAGAATCTCAGACCCAAGGGTCAAATCCAGCCCTCCTCTTCCCAATATGGCCCTATAGACTTTTCCAAGACAATGCCCTCTTCTGCTAGCCACTCCCTTATCTACAACCACCCATCATGTGCTGGTTTCCCAGCTTTTGTGCAGTTTTGAAATTTCTCTCCTAAAAATTTCTCTCTTGGCAGTAACAATGTGAAACTAAAAAGTGTTAGCATTCTTTGTATCCTTCCCACTACAGTGCATTTCTCCAAAGCTTTCTGAAATGGAATTCAACTTTCAGAGTGGAAGAGGTTCAACACCAAATATCTCTATACATATGTGTTCTTTGGTTTGACTATAAATTTGGGGACTCAGCTAAGATACAAAGGTACAAAACCAGGGCTAGGTATTAACCATACTAAACATTTTTATTCTTTTAACTTCCTTTATCTTTTATTGTACACCACTTTGAAAGTTCCATACTGGAATATGTAGTGGTATATAAATTTTATTAATAAGACAAACAAATATGCCTGCACTACGCCATTATATCTGAAGTCATGAGCCTGGAATCTTTGCTCGGATTCTGAGAGTTCTCAGAAAAGCTTATTGATCCTCTCTCGCTTAGTAGAGTCCCCACTGCTCTGTGTTACACTCCAGAGCTTAGGGCAATGAAACAAGCTAGGAGACAATATAACACAAACAGAGAAAGACTGCTGATGAATGCAATTCAACACTGGTATATGATTAACATTTAGTCTACTTAGTGGCAGTGAAATCAGCAAAAAAGTGCTACTTCACTCCTACCATTGTGTACTTCCTCTGCTGATAGAGCATTTTCAATTAGTTCTGAGAGTATTGCACACTGGTCCAAAGGAGATGTTCCTACTCTTTGCAGCCTTCTCTGATCTTTGTGCTTGTCATTTTGAAGATAAAATTGCTTCCATCCATCAGCATGTTGACTTTACTGTTTAAGCAGTTTGGTTTCATATGGGTGTTCCGAATGCAGTCTTGTCCAATATTACTGTATGAATTTTGGTTAGTATGGCTCAAGAATGTGTACAACATGCTTGAATGAAAACATGCAACCATATGCACAGAGGATCTTTGCCTTTCTTGACTGGTGAAAGCTAGAGGGGAAGGGATAGCTAGTTGGACAGGGTGGTGATAAAAGCCTCCTTACAAGAAGCGGTGGTCCTAGGTCACCTGACAGGCAGCAGTAAGACCACTCTTTAAGACAGCATCCCTGATCTGGACAATGTGTACAATTATAGGACAGTTGCGCAAGGTCCATTAATGGGTGGTTTCTGACTAGATCCAGTTACTTGTGGATGAGACTGTTTTTCTGGATCCA